ATGAGCAACTTTTTATTTATTTAATTTTTTTTTGCAAAAGTAGGATCCTTTTCTAGAGGTTTGCTTCAGGAGGAGAGCAGGTTGCTTTGTTTAAGTGCATGTGAAATATTTGTTAATGAAAAATATCAGTGCTGACAGTGCTGAGAAGAAGAAATTGAATTAGTGCCAACTACAGTTCCAATGGAAGTCTGCTAGGAACTCAGCTAAAACCAAGCAAAGCAACTGGCTGTTGCAGAGCAGCAAGGACAAAGTCCAGCATTGAACTGAACCTGTAATCCTGAAAGGTAAGTTCTGACCTTGTTGCCCCCTTGCTCAAGCCATTCTGCCACTGCGCACTTCATATTTAAGATACCTCCATCACTGTTTTATAAAACATTGGAGTCATGTGTCCATTCATGTTCTACTGTAAGAACCAGGAGGCTGAGAAGTTGACTGAATCCAGATGTTAGAACCACATGTTCATATATCTCCGCAAACAGCAACATGTGCAGGAAGAACAATACTGAGCGAAGACAAGAGAGAAGATGCCTCCATTCAGATAAGGAGGAAAAGCTGTGCCATGCATAGTCAAGATGCAGGACGGTGAGAAAATGATGGGATGAAATGGGGGAAGAGAGCAGTTTACAATACAGGCCAAGGTTGGGCACTGCTTTCTAAGGGATCAGCATGCACCAACAGAGAGAAGCAGAGAGGAGCGTGTTCGATTTGGCAAGTCCTCCAGCTGTTCCCCATCTCCCTCAATCTATGCTTACAACTCAGATGCATTTGGCACTGGCTGGATATGGGAGTGCTACCGGAATGGCAGCTCTTTCACATATTTGCCCATGAGCTTCCTCTTCACTGTGCCAAAGAGAAGGTGGACAAAGCTTTGGCTGCTTGCTTAACAGAACTAGTCTGACAGCCAGGCAAGAGGAAGCTGCAGAGCCCATCGAGCTTGCAAAACTTCCAGCAGGAGGAGTTTAAGGTCCTTCAAAAAGAGCATTCAAACAAAAACCTCACACAGCCTGAAATTCAGCTCATGCTAATTGAGCACTAACTGCAGGCCTTCAAGAAAAAGGACTCCTTTCCTCTGCATATAGCAGAGACCAGAGCAGTATTTACAAGCATGCATGTGAGGTGTGGTTTCATGGTCTTTAACTACTGCTTTAAGGACAGTAGGTAAAATTAGCTTTTGGTTGCAGACACCATTTAGAAGTGGGAGATTGTAGCCGCCTTTGGGCTAAATTCTGACAGCCTAAGTTGAGTAATATGCTGCTCTTGTTCTTCTTGGTACTAAGTTTTAACTCGGTTTGCAAAGGAACTAAAATCTTTGTGTTAGAGACTTAGGCATGGGTGGTGACATGACGTGGACCAGGAGCTGAATCAGGTCTCTTGTACCTGAATCCCTTTCCCTGGTTACTAGACACCACTGCTCCCATTTGCTGCTGTACTACCCTAATAAACACAGGTATTTTAAAGCATATCAAGAACTAAGGGTATGATGCAGTAATAGAGCCAAGCCCAAGAGACTGGGCCACTTATGGCTGGGGGAGGAACAGCCGCACCTTTCAAGACAGCACATTTATAGATGAGCTTGACAGTGATGTCAGACCACACAGAGAGTCTTGCAAGCTTCCCTTTTGTACTTCAGATACCAGATTCAATGATGTGAGCCACTGTAAAGAGTTCCACTCTGAAGTGGGACACTGTTGAAGCCCAGTTAACAAAGGCTGACTTGCATTGTTTGGGTTAGTGGAAAGGGACTAGAAATCAAGTCCTCTTGTAAGGCAGAAATTCCAAGGTCATCAGTCGAGGTGGAAAAATTGGAAAATAAAGGTTTTAGTATAGTTTAGGTCATTCCCAAGAAGCTGCTTTTCTGATACATCTTATTCACTACAAGCCAATCATCCCAGTTACTCCTGTTATTGCTGGATAGGAATGGTCTGTGGCAAGGAGGCTTTATAGGTAGCAGTTGATTCATTTAATTACAGCTATACATATTTTCCACGTCTAATTCAAATGCTGTCTGAGCACACAAGTACAGTTTGCCTGTTTAAAAGCAGTACATTTGATCTAGATAATTGCTATTTCCTCTCAAGACAAAAACTCTCCTCACATTCTTTTTAAAGTTCTTTTATGTTGCAGGTTCCATGCAACACCCAGAGGTACAAAAAATTTAACAAAATTATATTAAACAAGGACTATAAGACCTATCGTACTTGACACTGAAATGAAAACAACTGACCCTGAGACATTCTAGGACTTAGCAGAAAAATAAGTGTCTTCTACCCAGGCTTTTGAAAAATCACATTTAAAAAGCAACCAGCTCAGAACTTACCTCTATGTGATCCTTGACTTAAAAAGATGCCTAGAAGAGGTCTTGTACAATAAAGTTATGCACTTGAAGATTTACACAGAATTTAAATGGAAAGAGTTATTACCGGCATTCAGAGAAAATCACTGTTTCATTACTTTCCGTTTCCCCCCCCAATCAGTACTTTCCAGCCACTGCCAGTCCACTGTGTTGCTTTAGGAGTATCTTTCAACTAAATTCCCAGTGGAGCATCTGATATTTTTCCAAGAAAAGCTTTTGAGACTCTGAACGAACAGTCCTTTCAGTACAATCCCTGTGCCCAACAACTTTCTACATAAAAGCCCTCATTATGAATTTTGAGTCAGTGGGGTTTTCTCTGTCAGTGTGTGTTGCTGATCAGGCTTTCTTGACCTAGAGTTGGTATTTCCCATATAGTTTGCATGAAGTCCTAAAGCACATTCAAATGCTGTGCAGGCTAATGACTACAAAAGAAAAAACCCAAACCCAAAAGAAAATCACATTAAAAAAATTGATTCGGAATTGGCAACTCTGTAACCTCTCTCTTAGCTGCCATCTCATTAACATATTTGTTCAAAAGCCTTTTCTCTGCTTCATTACATAATTTGTGTTACAAAATCCAGATAAATGCTCATTATTCCCAGATCTACATAATGGCTTATTGGGCTTCCTTTTTCTTCTTCTTCTTTTATTTTTCCCAGAGAAAAATGGAGGACAGAAGGGGCTTGTTTGGATGGGAAATGAACCACACCAATTTCTGAGTAACATCTGGGACATCTGTTGTGTATGGCATTACAATACATTATGCAAATACTGGTGAATGATCCTTCCCAATACCTCTGCAGAGCAGAAGAATTAATATTATTGTCCCCATTTTACAGACTAAGGTCAGTTCATATTTTCTGCATCTCCTGTATCTCATTGTTCAACTAGTTTGTTCCTAAAAATAAAGAACTCCCCACACCGGGCAGAGTCTACAACATCAGAGAAGAGCCGCTTGCGTCATACTGCTGTAAGTGATCAGTTATATTAGAAAGTACAAGAAATGCTAGGCCTTCCATCAGAAAATCCTGAAGATACTGGTTTTGTCATTGAAATGAAAACGTGAAGTTCTGTTTCATTCTCTCTCTAACTTATATTTCTTCTAAAATTCCCAATGTAAAAATGTAGAGCGGTACAACTCCCAGCTGAGGTCCAGCGACAGGCAGGACCTGCTGCACCTGAGGCCTCTAGTGCTGTTGTCAGTCCTAGCCATGACAAAATATCACCAGACAGAAAAGACAAAGCTGGTTAATGCAGGCTAGAGATTTCACCTTGCACATACTTAGATACCTTGAAGTGGTCTGATGGTCACTGGGGAAACGGAGGTGCCTGGGAGTTTGCTGGGGCAAGACTGGGCAGCCATGCTGTGGGGCTTGGTGTGATGAGCCTGGAGGACCAATGTTGGGTTTCTCCCCCATGGGGATAGTGGGCAAGTGTTCCCTCTCCATCAATTGGCTCTTTTTGTCTGAGTGGGACAGCATTGCCCCAGGGAGGCCAAGGTGGGTTTGTGAGGCTGGATACTGCTGTGACAACCACTCCAGAGGTGGAGGGGGCTGCGGTGTGCCCTTGCCCTCCCTGCTCACTGCAAGCCAGCCCTGCAGCCCGTCAGCCTGGGCAGGCTGAGAGAACAATGGCTGTGGTGACATCAGCTGGGCAAAGGCTGTGGCCGAGTGGGCACCAGATGTGGTGGGACGCAGGGCAGCTGCCAGCAGGGCCTGCTGCCTGCAGGCAGCCCTCCTGGGCTTGGACACAGCTGGAGGGTTTGTTTAAGGTGCTTCCTCTCCCTCTCTGCTGGCTAGTTATCAGTAAAATACAGTAAAAAAGGTGAGTTGACAGGCAGGGCTGCCATGCTCCCTGCAGGTTCCTCTGTGGACAGGTGCTGCTGCTACACCTGCACAACTCACAGCACAGGTGCTGGGCTGGAAGGGGCGGTGGGGCCAGGGGCTCCCCACAGACATCACCACTCCAGGCCTGGAGGGGAGATGGTGGCTGGAGGGCTCCGCACAGCCTTCTTGCGGAAGCAGGGATGAAGATGGTGTTCTGCTACCTCTCACGTCCCTGAGGTGCGGGCAGGTGGGCTGCCTGCCACAGCCTGCTGCCTCCCTCCTCAGGGAGCCACAGGCTCATGGCTCCTCTGCAGGCACCTGCAGTGATGGGAGAGTGCGGACATGGAAATCAGAATCACTGAAACAAAGAATAGTTTGGGTTGGAAGGGACCTTTAAAGGTCATCTAGTCCAATCCCCTGCAATGGGCAGGACATCTTTAACTAGATTAGGGTGTTGGGGGGTGGAGGTGGCCGAGCTGGCCAGCCCTGCTGCAGTGGGGCAGAGGAACACCTCTGCTCCCATAGGCAGCTCTGGGTGGCAGCTCTGCCTGTGGCATAAACCTGCTAATGTAAATTAAACTTATCTGGGAGAGAAGGAAACTGACACCCCGTGGTTCCTCTAAGGACTAGAAACTAGTCTGTATGTGGAACTCGCACTAAAACCCAATACTTGTCTGGCAATGCTGCTGTTTCTCCTTTAAAGAATTTTTGGCTAAGCAGCTGTTTGGGGTGGAGTTACTGCAACAGAGGCTTTCAGTTTCAGGTTTTTTTCCTCTCTGCTCTAAGAAGAAAGGATATCCAGCAGAATAAAAAGAAAAATCATGACAGAAGAGAGCAGGTTCTGCAAAAATTGGTAAGAGATCTTTCTCCCTCTCCACCCCTACAAAGTGTGGGGGTTTCAAGAGTTTTCTAGGATTTTCCTTAATGTTATCTAGGTCTCCTGTAACGGGGAGAAGAGGAAGAACCACACAACAGGAGGGGTGTGCACTCACCATTGAGTAGTAAACTAAAATATTTTGTACGCATTTTCACATTTCCAGGATGCTGCTTTCTTGCTACTTTGCTGTGGAGAGGTTTCTTCCATAGCCCTCTCCTATGCTGCATGTTCTCTTTTTACATAACATCACCGTGGGTAATTTTGCAGTATCTGTCAGAGGAGTCAATGCATGGACTATGCCAAACCCAGCAGCTGCCTCAGTTTCCCCCCATGGCTGATGTTTCTTTCTGTTGCTATATTTGTGGTTAAGTGATAAAATCTTTTTTTTTCCTCAGGATAATTGGTCATCTCTCATAGCATAGAAGGCTGAAAGGGGCCATGAAGATAGTATAGCGTGGTGTATCTCAACTAGTAGCTAGGCCATTGGGCAAATTATATGAATGAAGACTGTGAAGCACTGCCATTAAAAAGAAAAAAAGAAAAAAAAAGAGTCAAACTTAGAAAGGTTAAACATGGGCTTAGCTTACTACCACAGTAAGGGCTTTGAAATGACAGGGATATACCTCACCTCCCATTGCCTGGTGGACTGATGAGCCTGAAGTGAGAGCAGTGAGGCAGGCATCCTGAGATGGGTCCCATGGGATCGCAGTTCCAGGCCCTGCTGGCAGTGGAAGTCAGAAAACCAGCTGGTGTGCACATCAATCATCCCGAAGCTGTTTCAAGGGGAGCAATGAAAGTTTTACATGGCTTAAGGTTTGCACCTGGAAGCTTCTTCAGAAGGTCTTACCCAAGCCCTGTTGAACTGTATCTCAATTCTTGTCACTAATGTTGTGAACACATCAATTATTAAAATCAAATAAGTGATTTCCCCAATAAACTTAAGTGGCTCATCCTGAACCCACTGTGCATAGTGACATCTGTGTGTCTCAGCTAAGAGGTAGCCTTCATCTGAACAGAGCAGCTGCTTGGCTGAGCTACCTTAAATTGGTCTGCTGGGCACCAAAGAGCTGTATATTTTGTGATGCCTTAGATGGCACCCAGAAGAGGGGACTTTCTTTTCTTTCCACATCTGTAAACAATGTAAACAACAGCTGGAGCTTTTCCTGAAACAATTGTTGGACAAATACACCTGGAGCCTCCAGCTGCCCTGTCCCTTTCAGAAGTATTCCTGGTAATATGACAGAAGTATTCCTGGTAATATGACAGAACAGAATGAGTAACAGAATCCAGTCTCTAAATGCCTCTTTAAGATGAATCAAAAAGTTTTTGATTTCTAGTTTTTAGGGACAAACTAGTTGAATTGTAACCAGTTGTGCTGAGTCTGGCTGGGATGGAGCTAATTTTCTTCATAGCAGCCCATTTGGTGCTGTGTTTTGTATTTGTGGCTAAAACAGTGTGATAACACACCAGTGTTTTGGCTTTTGCTGAACAGTGCTTGCACAGCATCAAGGTTTTCTCTTTTTTCCCTGCTCTGCTCTCCCACAGCAAGTAGGCTGGGGGTGAGCAGGAGTTTGGGAGGGGACACAGCTGGGACAGCGGACCCAGACTGACCAAAGGGATATTCCATACTGTATAACCTCATGCTCAGGAATAAAAACTGCATTAGAGGAAAAGGAACAGGGTTGGGGTGGGTTTTTTTGCTTCTAAGGTGGCTATTGTTCAAAGACTGGTTGGGCATAGGTATGCCTGTGGGGGAGTAGGTTGCGAGTGATGCTTCACTTGTTCTCCTCCCCCCTTTCCTTCAAGTATTAAACTGTGTTTATCTCGACCTACAAAATTTTTCATTTCCATTCTTCCTATTTCCCACCCCTGTCCCACTGTGTGTGTGGTGGGGTGGTAGTGAGTGGGTGCTTGGCTGCTGGCCAGGGTCAACCCACCACACCAATTCATTTACTCTTCTCTCTTTCCTGTTTATGTGCTCGGTAGTAAACGAGATGTGTCTGCTGCCAATTTCTCCCTCCATGAGGCCCACTGCTTGCGGTTTCTCACTCTCTGTCCAGAATGTGATGAACCAGTTGCCCAAAAGGATATGAAAGACCATCAAACAGAAGCACACAAGCAGGTGAGGAATGTTACACATTATTCAGGGTTTTCTTGCAAATAGCAAAAAGCTCTGCCAGCCCTGAAGTAGTATGTTCATGGTACTGTGCTCTATATTAACTAGATTTGAACTTCTGTAATTGTTTGACCAGAAAATCTGTAAGGGTCTGATATGACCCTTCAGGCCTGGTTACAGCACCTTTTGATCTTACTGCACAGCTTAAGAGAATAAAGCTTCCAGTGTGGTATCTCAGCTTCCCCAGTAATACAAATTACAGATCAGGTATGGATACATGCTCCTAGTGACTGTGAATTACCCAAAGCATACAAGTGAAATAATTTGCTTAGAGTAAGACAAACAGTACCTGATCTGACATAAACCTTGCTTGTACAAAGCTATAACATCAATGCACTTTTTAAACACAACTGGACTGGCAGAGTAAATTTATCAGCTCTTCATATAGCGAGGCAATAGCTTTTTTAGTATGGCATTAAGGACCCTGCAGCTAGAGGTACTATATTGAAGCATGAATACACAGGCATGACTTTTTATTCTGTCTTACTAGTTTTATTGTTTTAGCAATTCCATTGATTTCAGTTACTTAACACGAGTAGCTGTCACGGCAAGCCTATAGCAAACTAGCATACCTATGTTTTCCGAGAGGCTATTATAATTTAGACAAGCTGAATATCAGATGTATACTTTTAAGTTACACCTCAGGCAAAATTCTGAATCTCTATTTCACATCACGCTTTGCATTTCACATGGGCACCTTTGAGAACTGGATCCTCACACAGAATGACAGCTTCCAGCAGAATCATCAGATATCTGTTTTCCTCAAAATCTCATCAACACAGCTCAGGCCTGACAGAGAGACAGAAATTCACCAACAGCTTGTCGATGGTTGGGATGAAAATGACAGGAAGGTCACCTCAGCAGTTTGAAGTTGTATTGACATATGAAAGCACTGTGCTTTCCTATGCTCCCAATGAACTGCTATATGTTTTGCTTGCAGGTCAGATGTAATCTTTGTCACCAAAGCATGCAGCAATACCAACTGGAGCATCATGAGGTAAGTGTGGAGTGCAGTACTTTTTACTTTCTAGGCTGACCATTTTAACCAGCCACCAAGAGTCACACTAATGGGTTCAACAGCAAACACACGTAAATCCCTGACTTCTGTCTTGGACCATGAATAAACTTAAACCTCTCAGCAGTTGGGGTGTTTTGGCATACCTTTTCCCCTTGTCAATAAGTGTACCCCATGGTGGTTGCTCATCCAGTTGTGATGGGATAGTCTGTTCCCAGACATAATCTAGTACTTTCTCATCCTTGGCACCTCAAGTGGATGTTCTCCGAGGGTTTCTCAAAGACGTTTCCATCCTGCCCCCACACTCATATTACCTGCTTTTCCAAAGGAGCCGTTATACAAATCGAGAGTCAAGGAAACAGCTAAGGACATACATAAAAGAATTGGCAGAGGCTGGGAAGTGAGAGCAGCCTGTCCATGCTAGCTGTAGCCTAACCATTTCAAAGAACCAAAGCAGTGAAGACACAGCAGGCTTCCCCTGATGGTGGTAGCTGAAGTACTGGAATTTTCTAGGTGGGCTTGTGCTCTGTTGCTAACCTGTACTGACACAACATCTTCACTACTGATTCACATTTTGCCTTATATTGCTGAAACAATCCTAAATTAAAGATAACCTAGATAGGGTTGTGTAGATACCTCTGAAGGAGGGCATTCTTAAACAGTCACTCATTGCTCTCACCCAATGCTCTCTTTTAGTATTGATAGAAAATTTGCAATAATTTCCTCCATTCATGTGCAGACCAAGGAATGCCACAAACGAGCAACGAAATGCAAGATCTGTGAGCTTGAAATGCCCTTCAACAAGCTGGAGGAACACTGGAACACCTGTGCCAGCCGAACAGAGAGGTGTTGGGAGTGTAACAAATACATCATGTACAAAGACCAGAACAAACACAAAGATACTTGTCAGAACAGTGGTCTGTCCTGTCATAAGGATGTGAATTTTCAAACCAGCAAAGCATCTACTAATGCAACATTTATTTGCCCCACTGGTAAGCAAAATTCCTCATTGTCATGGACTGGGTCAACTCTGTTAAATCTCAATGAAAATTCTCCTGCCTTCTCTACAATCCTCAGTAATGCAGGCTGGAGGAGATTGTTGTTTAACCAACCACAGTGAAAGTGCCAAGTGTTGCTTTCTATTATGCTGGTTATTGTAAAGCCAGAGCAGCTCATTGGCCATGTTATTTTATGCCTCTCATATCCTGGAAGTGAAATTCCTTCTGTCAGAAAATAAGTGGACCTTCCTCCTCGTTCTATTTGTCACATAGGAGAAAATATGATTTAGAATTTCCTTTTACTTCATATGTAAAGTTAGTGATGCATACCTTGATTTCTAGAAGTTGAGAGCAGCTTTATTAGGCCTAAGGTATTGGACAGAGTATGTCAAGAGAAAAAAATTCAAGAATCCTGTCAATGATTCCACAAAATAACAGCCATCAGTAGGTGCAGTGGTAGGCAAAATAGAGAGCAAAATCCTCTAACAACAGAATTACCTAGGCCAGGGTAGGAGTGAAGCATCTTGAGCCACATGGGGCTGGAGTGGAATTCCAAACATCCTGAAGTTCACGAGAAGGGATGGTGGATTGATTTTGAGTGGTGCCAAAAGCAAAATGTAATTCCTTCTTGGAATTACAAAGGAATTCCTTCAAAGGAATTACAAAAGGAATTCCTTCAAAGGAAGTCATAGCTCTAATTCCTTCTTGGCCACTGGAATCAGCATTCTGTGTTTCTCTAGAAACAGTGACCATAAGTGGATCTGAGCAGCCTGTCTAGATGACTAGTGTCAGTTTTGTGTTTCTCTCCATTTTTTTTTTCCTTCTAAAGGTACTGGTGGCAACCTTTGTCAGAAGTGCAATAAGTTGTTCCCAGATGACCAGTACTCCCAACATCTGGTAAGCACATTTGAAACTGAACAAAAGAATGGTCTGTAATTAATTTCCAGCCAGGTTATTTCTCTGAAAAGCTATATATTAGGTAAGAAAGGGCAGTGTGTCTTGGCTCTTCAAACTATAGTTTCATGATACAAAAACATCACTGTTAGGTGGTGTCCACTGTTCCCCCCCCATGACTCACGTCTGTCACAAATCACAACATACCACACAGTTGGGTGCTATGCCAATCTTCACCTCATTATGCATGTTGTCTTTTAACAGGATAAATGCAGCACGGTCCATAAGCTGACAAAAGTTCTTGCTGGCCAGTCAACTTCAAAACTCAGCAGTGATCCACCACAGTCTTCTTCCTCCCTGGCTCCTTCCAGCTCCCAGAATGCAATGGCATGGAAAGATGTCCGACCCAAAGGGAAAGAAAGGGACCAGCCATTGACCTCCAAAACCTTGCTTAAACCCCCAAAGAACAAAAAGATTGCCTCTCCCTCTCTCACAAGAGGCGGACTTTCCACATCACCTCAAGCTCTGAAAGACACCCAGTCTTTTGACATGCTGGTAACCTGTGCCCATTGCAACATTATTCTGCCACTTCCAACCCTTCAGAAACATGAGGTGAGAAGTGACACATTGAACTTGGCCTCCTACATGTGAGGGGCCATACTTACAGAGCCACTACTTATCTCCACACTGCCTGGGGTCCCAATGCCTATTTCTGGATTCCATAGCTTCTTGAAATGCTAGGTACACTCTCTCTGTAAAGCATGAAATTTGTTAATTCCATTGTTTATTTATGCTCACATCTATACAAACAAGATCCATTGCCTACAGTCTGCTTGAGTTTTAGGAAAATAATAACCATGACTCAAGCCATTAATTTTAAGCCGAAATCCTGGAAGGTCTTCAGCAACTGTCCTTATTTGCTGAAGGCTGATATATTGTTCCTCCTAAGCAAATAGTATGATTATATTTCAGCTGCATCAGAGATGGAGCTCTAGATAATTTTCCATCCTAACAAAGGGGCCCAGTTGCCTCCCTTCTGAATATGATTGCATGTTGAATATAATGTTAAATTCTCCTCTGATATGACTGTTACTTATTTTTCTAGATCAAATGTCATCGTTTGAGATCTCTGAAAAATGCTAGGATGAAACAAAAATCAAGCCGTGGAGAAAAAGGTACTGCAGAATTTCAGAAATTTAGAATAGAATTCACATTCAGGATTGTTCGACATTGAGTTAATAGGAACAATGGGATGTTTTGCAGAGAAAGTGCATCTAGAAAAGCTAATACTCAGAATATCACAAAGCTCTTTAGATTCCAACACACACTGAGTTCCCATGAGGCTGCATTAAGCTAGCATTAGCTTGACTCGGAGTAACACGTATTGTGCCTCTCAAATTACGCTACGGTGAACAGTGCAGTACCTTCCCTACTGTAAGCAGAGATCAGCACAAAAGATTTCACAGAACAGATGTTCTGTCCCAGGTCTGTCTGCTGCAAAACTCAACGGAGATTTAAAAAATAGTTTTGTAAGACAAGAAATAAAATTATTTTTTCTACATAGTAAAAATTGCATATTCAGTAGAAGCATTGATATAATTATGCCAGACAATACCTCCAATTCAGCTTGCACTGATCCATAGGCAATGTCTCTTTCCTCACCCTGTCCCAGACAGGCTGTGAATCTTAACACTTCTCTCTTTGCTAACATCCCCTTCTGCTTTTCAGATCCTAAGCAGTATCGTTTCTTCTCAGTTCAGTTAATTAAGTGAAACTGAAAGCAGTTGTTCTCAATCTGTCCTTTTTCTACTTGATTCAGTAAATGAGGTATTACTTCTCCCTGTAAAACTTACTTCTCCTTGTAAATTAAAGAGAGAAAGTAGCAAAGTGAGAAATAGGGGGGTTGTCTAGTTTAGAATTAAAGGACTCTAGACTTGAAATAAAAGTACATGGTGATTACACTGATTATTTGACTTGAATTGTGTTTTTTTATGTTGTTCAACTGAGTGATCACATAGGAAGGCTGTAACACTGAAACTTTAAAAACACTCGTAACCAGGCTTTGTTTGTTTTACAGAAGACTCATGCTACAGCACTCACGATTAAATCTGGAAATAGAGGCACATCCTCCGTTTGAAGCTTCAAGTCCGTTTTAGCAAAAGGCACTGAAAGTGCAATAGCTTTATTGACAAATAAAACTGACTTGCTACTCTGTATCAAGAACAAAGAGTGACTGAGATTTTTATTCCTTATCAAGAGAGGCATTTAAAAGGTTTCACCAGAAAACTGTAAAAGTGATGGGAGCTCAACAACTGTTGTCATTTCAAATATTTCTGTGTAAGCTTGCCTTAGAAATATACTTTTTCCACCTGCTTCAGCAAGGCGAGCAGCTTATTTAAATATGTTTGTTCGGGGGAAAGAAGGAAATAAGGAATTCAGAATACCTTGTCATGTTGAGTGCCACCAATTCCCTTTGTCCTCACTGAGAGCTGAGACCTTAGTGTTTTTTAGGGCATGGCCCAATGAAATGAAAAACATTAAATCTTGCTCTCCTTCACTTCAGTGAACCACTGAACCTATGGCTAGCATGAACAGCTTAGTCTCGGGAGACTGCGGACATATCCAAGGATAACAGACGGTGTTCATCTTCTGATACACAAATGGAACTGACAGAGCCCAATGGTGGAAGAGTTAAACATGAAGAGTGAGTGGATGTTTTATGCTAATGTTTGTGAACATTTGTGAAGCAGTCTTTGATGCTTGGCATAGAATCATAGAATGGTTTGGGTTGGAAGAGACCTTAAAGATCATCTAGTTCTCTAAAGGAATGGGTTTTTCAGTTGTCAATAAGCATTAGCAAGTCATTACTGCATTTACTGTGGACTTTGTTTTCACAATACCCTCGTGAACACTAACATTTCCTTCCCATTATATCAGAAATAGAGAATCATAGAATGGTTTGGGTTGGAAGGGATCTCGAAGATCATCTAGTTCCAACCCCTCCTGCCATGGACAGGGACACCCTCCACTAGACCCGTTTTCAAAAGCCCCATCCACCCTGGCCTTGAACACTTCCGGGGATCCAGGGGCATCCACAGCATCTCTGGGCAACCCATTCCAGTGCCTCACAACCCTCACAGGAAGAATTTCTTCCTCGTATCTCATCTAAATCTCCCCTCCTTCAGCTTAGGGCCATTCCCCTTGTCCTGTCAGTCCATGCCCTTGCAAACAGTCACCCTCCAGGTTTCCTGTGGCCCCGTTAGGTGCTGGAAGGCGGCTATGAGGTCTCCCCAGAGCATTCTTTTCTCCAGGCTGAACAACCCCAACTCTCTGAGCCTGTCTTCACAGGAGAGGTGCTCCAGCCCTCTGATCATCTTTGTGGCTTCCTCTGGACTTGCTCCAAAAGCTCCACATCCTTGTTGTCCTGGGGACCCCAGAGCTGGACACAGTACTGCAGGTGGGGTCTCACCAGAGTGGAGTAAAGGGGCAGAATCACCTCACTCGACCCGTGTCTTACATCAATAAACACTAAAAGATGTTAACAACAGAACAGTTTTACTACAAGGTGCCATTTTCACCTCATCCACCTTTAGCAGTATTCTGTCTGATGACTGGAACTAATATGCATATGCTGACCTGGTGTATAATTTGAGTAACATCTTACTTCTCAGATGCAAACTGGTTGATGTCCGCATCATTTATGCACAAGCAAACATGGGATGTGAAGTCAGGCTGACTTCATAAACTCTCTCAGTAATTCATCAAGGGCCCGGGCTCATTTATGCATATCATAGGCATATCTATATGGGCAGGTCTGAGCTGAAATGCACCAATGGACATTCCAAGGGTAGACACTTCCAGCCTTGTAAACACTGGGCTGGGGCCAGCAGTGTGAGTGGGACAGCGGCTGGTCATGTGCTCTGACAAGTGTTAGCAGCTTCTGAGGCTCCCTTAACCTTTGCAGCATAGAGACTGTTTGTGACAATCAACAGCTTTTCCGACATGCAATCAGACCTGATTAATCTGAATCTGGAACTCTGCTACTCAAAGGCCAAGAGTGCGTAACTTCATTCCCCGCCTGTCCCAGAAGTTTTGCAGCTCAGTGTCTAATGAATTGCATTTGAAAGCTTGCAGGAGTATTCTGACCACATTTAAGAAGGGATTTTCAAATGCAAGCTAAGGCGGTGCTCTCACTGAGGTTTGTCTTAAGCTTTTAGAAAATTGTTCTGAACTTCTGGTAAGCAGGTCTAACGTTGACCATGGTGCTATTAAACAGAATTTTCTGTATTTGGGGACAGAGGAAAGGGTTGTGAAAGCATGTCCGTTAAAACCGTATCACTCTATGCATAAATTTATCCTCTTTTATTCTGCTCTCATTAGACTTTCATACAGTCTAGTATTCTTATTATGCCTTGATACACACCACAGCAATGGGCCTGATGGATCTCCACACAAACATAAGCTCTTTCACTGTCTTGTGTATTTTGGGGTCTGTACAGGTTCCAGCAAAGCTGGACTTACCAGGCCTCCCAGGAACTCTTGCTTTATTGGTCCTTGAAGTCTGTTTGAAGAGGGCTGGTAAACATAATATGGTCTGAAGAGAGTCCACAGTAAATGAGTATAACAAATTTGGAGACAAACTGGGCAGGCAGCTCATGCTCTACAGTCTAACACAGAAAGACATGAAAACATTTTCATCCCTTTTGAAAAGGAACTTGGAAAGCTTTGCTGCCCAAATGCAAAGGAAGATGCTTTGCACCTAGAAACAGCCCAGTTTACCAGACAAGACGACACGTGGGCAGGAACAGGCAGGTAAGGGGATGGTGCTCACACTAGCCCTGTTATCACAGGACACCTGCAGACTCACACCACACTCTGACATGGGTTAGCCTTACAGCCCAGGACAGCCATGGGGTCACATCTTCACTGCGAGACAGGAACCAAAGTGGCTCTGGCTGAAAAGTGTCACAAAACTTACACTGGAGCACAAGGCCAGCTTTATCCTTACAATCTTTTTTTTTTTTTTTTTTTTTTCCGGGGGTGGAGGGCGGGAGGAGAAGGCCGAGTTTATTGAAGAAGTTATTATTTCCTCTCTAAAAAGCACAGCAGGGCTTATTTCGGAAATCTATGCTGCAGTGTCATCGTGCGGCTGTTGGCGGTACTGGCAGGAGCTAAACGGCGCCATGGCTGGAGCGCTGGGGCCGGCAGGGAGCGGG